AAGAGTGGCGGTGGAAAACCCTTTGTCCAGGGTGGGACACACACACATATCATCACACACATCATCACACATCACAACATTCTTGGAGCCTCCAGTCCTCCAGTCCTCTTATCCTGTTACTGCGGTTTGCTCGGGTCACGCTCCAAACATTCGTGGGCCCTCTGTGTGGGAGAGACACTAAGGCCTCAACCCCGCTCCCGCGCCGCGACATGTGCGCACGATCCGACAAAACCTGACACCCTCTTCCCTCGGGTGCCCCGCTCTGGGCGAAGCGGCGAAGCAAGTACCAACCATTCACGAAGATTTTGGGATCCTTTAGTGTTTTTGACCTCCTAGAATAAACACTCATTTGACCCTCATATGGTCCCGACCGGGTGTCTCTTTCAGCCGTCGCGGAAGTTGCAGGAGCCCTTTGTGCTTCTTCCAATGGAAGGGCCTTGCTCAGCTTTGGCGAAGGAGTGTCAGGCCGATCTCAAGTCTCAGATTTGGCTGAGTATTTTACAGTCACAGTCGACTACATTTGGAGGTGAATCTATTTGACTTCGACAGTTGTTTCCAGAACTAGCACAGGCCTTTAACAGGGGTTTGAAGAGCATAGTTCTGGGATCACCAAGGCCGCTGCTTGAGACACTCAAGCAGTGGCTGCAAAACGGCTGAAGTGCAAGCACATATCCAAATCCACCTCAGACTAGAGATGTTGACAGGCACTGCGAAGCAACTGGAGAAGGAGATCTATTGGCATGGGGATTGAACCTGACTGTCAGCCGCCTCACAGATTCTTCATTTGCGGAACGCTCCTTTTCATCCTTATCCTCTCATGAGTTTGTTTGTAGTTCAATGTCAGGAAGATTTGCGTGCCAAAAACATGTGTTCAAAAACACGTGCCTCAGCGCGTAGATTCCACCCGAACAGCTGCTCGGGCAGGATGCGCAAGGGCTCCGAGCCGCGCAAGATGCCGGCGACCCCGCGGAAGTGACCCGGGTGTTCGATCGGATCGCCGGCTGGGCGACGGACGGGTGGAGACCCGGAGGACGTGAAGTCTGAACTGGTTCGAACTGTTGGACGTTTTTCCAGAGAGTGGTGGATGAGTTCGTAGGTGGAATGCATGTTAGTGGAGGACTTAGATGAATTGCTTTAGTGCCATGTCAAACGAGTTTTGGCCTTTTTGAATTCGCCTTCCTCTGAGATATTTGGATTCGCTTGGGAGCAAGGTATCCTGTGCTATTTCCTCGACATGATCGAATCTACCCTTGCTTCTTGGAATTGAGAATCGACATCTCCTAACGAGGAGACGTCTTCGCTCAAGCAACAGAAGCTCCGCGTGAAAGCGTGTGGACTGGGTGGGAAGAGCTGGAGAAACGTGAGTGAAACGGAGTGCGCTGAGGCTACGAGGATGAGTCCCTTGGCAGACGGAACGAGCGGAAGCAGACGCAGACGCAGATGGGAGTTTCAAAGCAGAGAAAGCGGCGCTCGATGGTTACGGAAAGGGCAACGAAGCAGATGGAAGATCAAGAGGCACACAGGTAAATTCCGGTAAATGAATCCTCCTGGTTTGCCTTTAGTGATGTGAAGATGAATGCCTTGACCCCTGAACCCTTTGCTTCCCTCAACAGAGGGGTTTCCCAATCCCGTCCTCGCGTTTCGCGAGCCTGGAGAGTTCGAAGCCACTCAGGTCGAAGCCTGGAGAGGATGATGAAGTGATTCTGCTCTAAACCTGTCGACTCAACGAATGGCCAACCCATCTCGGCAACCCTCAACCTGACCGACTGGCTGCTTCTTCCTCGTCCGTCGAGGACGTGGAGCAAAGCACAGGACTGGTGGCGTAGACAGCGCCGGGCACCGCACGCGGCAGAGGATGGAAAGCGCTGCTGAAGTCGCAAGACGTGTCGACCGGTGGTGTGGGAAGTTGGACGAAATGCTTCTGGATGAAACGATCAAGGCATGGTGGAATTTGTGGCAAGGCAGATGGGCAGATGTTCTAATCACTGAAGGGCATGCGAGCCTATGAGCCTATGAGCTACTCAGTTCTGCTGGCAGCACCTGGTGGCACCCCGTTCTGCAGCTGCCACTGGCAAGATGGCGATCCTCGATGGCGATCCTCACGCTTTGCCCTTTCAGACTGCCAGCGTGGTCAACCACGCTGGCAGGTGCATGTTTTCTGCGCCCTTTGTAGTGATGCGGGTTGGTAAAGCAGCAGTCATTGACAGCTGCAAGGCACCGCGCAGCTTGGCAGGTTAAATGAATGGAGAAGCGCTCTCTGCGTAGTGTCGAACAGATCTGTGTTTTCGGGATGTGCCCTATCACAGCTTCTGCCACTCCAATGTGGACAGCTGGGCTAATGGGCTATCATCACAGGCCACTTTGGGTGCGCTGGAGACGCTCGCAGACCTCGCAGACCGAGGCATCGGAGGGAAGCACTGTCCTGTCCGAAGTGAAGCGTTCCGGAAGTGTGCAGAACACGGGCGTCCTTTGCAGCACTTCTGAGCTCCAAAAGGAGTGCTTGATCACAAACATGGCTTCAAAAGGGAGGGCATGCCGCTGCAAAACATATAGCTTGCAAGATGCTTTTTGGCCATTTTGGTGCGAATTCCGTTCTGCTCAGAATTGACGTGCACTTTTCGTTCTCCGCAACATTCCAGGCTCCTGATGTGTTCTCACACTTGACTGAGCCGAGCGAGCCATTTTGACGTAGAACCCTTGCGCTTTCTCTCCTGGTCGGCAGACGCGATCGGAACGGGGCAGACTAAATCGGTCCTGTCCATGCTGTCAGGGCTTTCTTCGGGTGAGACACTAAATCCAGTTCCCAAAGAAACAGATGTTCAGTCGTTTTGAAGCTCGAAGCTCAGCTATGTCAATCACATTCAACCACACACACTTTTCAATGATTTTTTTACTCTTCGTATCCGAACCAGTTGCAATCCCTCCATGATTCATGATGAACAACCACGACCCAACCATGACCCAAAATTCCACCAGGGCGGCTTTTGGCGACACATCGTGGCCGTTTGTGCGTCTGTCGCCGAGAAAAGAGCTCGTTTTTTCCCACCATGGCGCTTCGCCTGGCCTTGGGCAGCTTGGGCAGCTTGGGTCTATGGCTCCACCTGCACCCTGCCACTGCGGCAGTTGTCGCGTCCTCGCGGCCGCGCAAGCCGGCAGGCGCCCAAAACCCCGGGACACCCGGGGACAGAACGGTACTTGCGATGTATTTTTATCGAACGCGAGAAGAAGACTGGCCGCTTCGACCCGGAAGAAGGGGTACACCAGGTATACATCCACTTCGAAAATGGAAGTGGATGGCTTGGATGACCCTGCTGAACAGGGGTTGCCACGTCTCCACGTCCATTGTCTTCACTGTTCGTGTAACTTCTCAGTCGTAAGTGGACCTTCTTCCCGTCGGTCCCAGTTGTGTCGTTTCGCTTTGTAAGGTGAGAAGGGATGCCTAATAGATCACATCTGCACCAGACTGCAAGCGCTCACTCCAACTAGTACGTATAGAAGGCCGTTTTGACCCATTACATCCAATATTTAAATACATCCACTGCGGGTTTCTCTTGATGATGGTGCCTTTGGGAGAAGCTTCTTGAATCTCCTCACCTTCGCAGGAAGTACGTATTATCCTTACCGACAACTACTGGACTGCAGCTCGAACGCAGTCAGTTGGAACGCTGCAGAGCATGCAAAGAGCCGACGCAAAGAGCGGCATGAAACGGTGACGTCAGTGGTGTTTTCGGCTTTTCAACCAACATGCAGGGTTGAAACGATGATCTAAACATTCTACCTGGCGTTCTCGTGCGAAAAGAAAAAGGTCCTGGAGTTCTGTATGCTTACTGAGTCATCTTAGTCCTGTCATTCTTCCGGTCCTTTCAACTTGGCCAGTTCGTCCGAGGCGAAGGCAGCAATTTCAGCGAGGAGTGGCGAGGCTTCCGGCTGCGCGTGGCGGCCAATGCTGAGCAAGGCGGTCCGTGTGCCGGGGCTGGGGGGTCAGGAGGGTGTTTGAAGAAATCCGACCAAGCTGTTTGAGAACCAACACTCTACATAATGTATATATTTGATTAGTGTTGGGGCCAGTATATGAAGCTTCCCTGGCTTTAACATGCTTTAACGACTTAAGATTGAAATTTTGGAGTCTTGCTTTGGAACCATGTACCTTCACTCCCTTTCGTGAATGCTTTGATGCACCGTGCTTGCAATCCAAATGGTTTGGTTACTCTTGACTTCTTGTTGGAATCCAAGAATCTATGTCTGGAGGGCTTGGGGCTGTTGCCCTGCCCCTCATGTTCTGGGGTTGGCCCGACCTTGGCTTGACGCTATTGTCGTCCAGCAACAATGAAGAGGAGCCTCTGCTTGGCTTCGGGTGTACATTTCTTCGGGTTTGTTTTGTACATGCTTCATGACTGGGGAGTGAATAACATCTCTTTCTCATAACTGGCTCAGTCTGAACCTCACGATCCCACAGGTGGAGTGCCACAGGCCACAGGAGGCCACAGGTTGGGAGTGCCACAGGGGCCCTGGCCTCACCGAACTCCACAGGTTTTCCTCCAGATCTGGAGCTACTGACGAAAGCTTGGGAGGTGCACGAGAAGTTGCAGGAGGCCGGAGCTCGCGGAGCGAAGCAGAACACCAACGACGGCCTGATCGGTGTATCGCTGCGAGCGTCGGTGGGGAAGACATCGTTTGGAATGGATGATAGTGGATCGAGAGTAGATGGCACAGACCCCAAGAGGTGGTTTATATGGACCCCCATCTAAAGGACATCTTGGGGTCTGTGCCATCTACTCTGAAACCACTGTATATACGGTAGTTTTTCGGAGGAGGGCCCTGTTGATTCAGTTTGCTGGGATGTTTGATGTGGGTGTTTTGCTGTGAGCAGCGCCGTTGTCGTGTAGGTGGCTCCCGGGATTCGATCTTTCCGTGTAGCTCGGCCGTTTCCGGGAGACGGAGGGTGCCTGGGCGTGGCGTTCCGACCTCCCTCCTTTCAGTCTACCCAGCCAGGGACGACCAAGAAGGTCTCACAGACTTCACAAATCCGCACGCCTATTGGTGGGCAGAATCGTCATCGAACATCATCAAACCTTGACTATATGCGATCATTGAAGATTCCTTTTGCAGAGGTTTTGGTCAAGGTGCAAAAAAGAGGGTTCAGAATGAACTGATGTCAAGCAGGAAATAGCAGGAATGCAAACGGTGATTGCAGATGTTTATCATCCATGTCGTCTCTGTTTAGATGCTCATCATTGACCTTTGTGTGAATTTACTTGGACACATCCACACGTGCGCCGAACACAATATGATACTATCTCATTGCGGACCATGCACCGCGGACATGGATGGATCGTTTGAAGATGAGTAACTTCAATCTTCTCCCGAGATGAGTCACTTCCGATGTCACCTGAGCAGTCCGTTCCAGCCGACCATCCCTGACCCCTGAGCTCGGGCCAGGACGCCACAGCCCGGAGCCTCTTGATGGTGAAGATCTTGGTCCGGCAGGAAGAAGTGAGCCGCTTGCGCTGCTCGGCGCGAGGGGACCGGGTCCTCGGGAGACCTGAGGTGCGAGTTCCAGGTCCTCGAGGTTCGGAGGTGCGAGGTTCCGGCAGTTCCAGGTGGTGTTCGGAGCGTCAAAGCCACGAAGTGGGTGAAGTGGGTGTGTTTGGGCCAGGTTGATCAGGTTGTATCCATTGTGTCATCAACAGAAGGCAAATCAGTTGAATTCGAAGAACCATGAAACAACTACACCACGTGGTTTTGCTGTTGATCTAGCCTTACTATGCACACGTGCACTGTTGTTCTGAACTCATGCCAGTCAGACAACAGCTGAGTCTTCCATGATCGGTTGGTCCAGTGAGGCAAACCAATGAATGCTATTTCCTATTTTGCTGGGTTGACATTTGTTCACACATCTTCACACATCTTCACACATGTTTCTCTGAGTGTCTCTCGTTATTTTGCCGGGTCTGGATTGTTTCAGAAGGCCAGGGATGTCGATTTCTTCGTCACTAAGGAGACTTCTGCCTCCTGGGCTTTGCTTCTGCTTTGCCGCTTGGGAAGACGCGCATCAGCGTGTTTTCTTTTTGCACTTTGAAGATCTGCATATAACAGATGCAACAAATAAACTACCCAGACACTCCACGTATGCCATATGCCGGTGGTTTTGGGGGTCAATGTAAGCATATATGGCAGTCCCATGGGTCGTGTCTGGGCTATCTGCAATGAATCTCATATATGCGACGGACCGGCACGTCCCTCGCGGACATGTGCTGGGGGGCGATGTGGAGGAGCCCATGGAACCCCGTTCAACCCACTGGTTGGTAGAGGAAAACCATCGGACCCAACGCCATGTGTGTTCGGGTCCATGTGTGTTTTCGGGTCTTGTTGGCGCGCCCAGGTTCATCATGTACCGGCACGAATTGACGGTCCAATACTTGGAGGATATCAGAAACGTCCTGCTCCCAGAGCCATCTTTCGCAGCATTTCAATCTGCAGCGACTCATTGGGCGAGTCGACTCGCAAGTCGCACCAGTCGCTGCAGTCGACTCGCTTGCATGACCTCAGCCCAGCTGCATCAGGGATATGGTTCTTGGAGTCTCAGATGGCCTGCCTTGTCTCTTCATCAGCTGGGCGTACTACTCCTCCACCACTCCCACGTTCTCCCGTCCGTCGTCCGGTCGCTACCTCGCTACCTCCACGTCCCGAGGTTCTGGGCTGGCCTGATTGGCCGCTGGACTTTTCAGAGTCCTCGGGCTGGCCACTCCAGCTGCATTGGTCAAGTGATGGCGTCGAAGGTCGCGAGGGTCGACGACGGGCCGGTTTGGAGGGTCTGGAGCTGCGAACCTCCGTTGTCGGCCGCGGAGTCCGGGCCCGAACAGATCGATGTTCTTTTGTTTTCTCACCTGACTCGGACTCCAAGACTGACTTGGTGCGAGATGTTCGCCCAAATCACCGTCGATTTCTGCCCCATGCGCGGCCTTCTCTCCCAGGCCAGCTTATTGGCGGATGGTCCCCGCACACATGGAGCAAGCGCTGCTACGCCCTTCGGGAGCACACCGTGGGGGGCGAACGGGAGCGTCGATCAGAGGGAGACCGAGCCTCAGGCGTTCCGAGCACCCTGGTTTCGGTTCGGGAGAATAGACCAGTGTACCCAACCAGGGCCATCTGAATCTGGATCTCCCGGGTTTGAAATACAAAATCCCTCTGTGATTTTAAGGGCTTCTGAGAGGGTTCCAGAGATTCACCAAGCTATGACAAGCTAGTGCACTTGCTAGACTTTCCGAAATTCCAAGACATGGCAAAGGGGGAAGAAGGACCTTATGGGTGGGGTCCCGGGGCATACCTTGAGAGTTTTGCGCCACTATCATCTCTTGCAAGTAGTTCTTTGGCAAGGACACTCTTGGGTGGCGAAGGGTGGAAGAAAACACTCTATGGTCACTGGTTTTCCCACGGTGGAGATGAACAATTTCCCGTCTTCACTGCGAAAACCGCGGCTTCTCCACCGCTGAGGGGGCGACCTGAGCTTCTCCCACGAGGATCACTGGGGCCGAGAGGAGGAGACCCTCCCGAAGCCGACACCGGAGGAGGTCGAGGCGATGGCGAGCTGGGCAGCTGTCCAGCTCCCCAGCTGATTGTCTTTTTTTCCAAGTTGTTGGGAGTTTTTCACGGTTTAGGCGAATTAGAGCATTAACACTGCAATTCAGAATCCGAGTCCTTTGCTGCTCAGATGACTGCGTCGCGTTGTTTTGGGTTAAAATCACACGACTGCGTGATCATGTGCACTGCGGCAGCCTGCCTCGGAAAGACCTGTTTTGGGCCGCTCGGCAGGCTGCGCTGCTGCACTGGTTGGGTGTCTCTGGAAAGGTGCAGCTCTCCAAACCGAAGGTCTTTGAGGCTGAGCAGCTGGCGAGGGAGGTGAAGATGAAGCGATTACAGCTCTTGGTGGCAGGCACAGAGAGGGGGGATCACAGGGGAGGACATGGGCCACCTGGCACAGAGATTGGAAGATGTTTCAAGAGCTAAGCAGGGAGAAACAGGGAGAACCATGGATCTGAGAGCATCTTGCACTTACCGTGCAGACAGATCCGAGGGTTTTCAGCACTTAGTGATTGGATGTGTTTGGTTTTCTGGGAAGAAGTGAAATTGAGAAACAGCGGGTAGCTGCTACAACCTCAAAAAACGCGGCAAAAACGCCTTACTCGTTTTGTCAAATCCTTTGGCAATCACTTCTCCTTTATCTGATGGCTGTCCACACCGCAGGTCACCACATGGGATCTTCCATGGAGCCTTACACCATGCTGCGAAGAGCACCTGGGAATAACCGAACGGACCAAACGGAAATCCGTTCTCTGCCTTATATTTTTTTTTTGCTGGATGCTTCCTGGCTCATCAACTAGCCATTTCAAGAACACATTTGGCTTCTGGTACTTCAGTTGGGTGTCAGCGCTGTATCCTTATTAGCATCAATGCTGAACTCGCCTTGCTGTTTCACGAGAGTGTTCTGAGGCGCTCGAGAGCAGCATGGAATTGGACCTAGAGGCGACAGGGGGACAAACTGTTCAGCAGATAGAATGGGACTTTGCATAGATCTGAGCAACCGGAGGGGAACTGCTTGGAAAGCTTAAGTGCTAGAGGGCTCCCCGCGTTGCCATGACAAAAAGCTTTGTTGCAAGTGGCAGATGGCATTCTGAGCATCCATGAGTAGCAATTGATTCCCACTACTCGAGGGAATGTGGAGATTGCAATTGCCATGACAACATTCATGTGATCTATAGCCTATAGCCTATAGCTATATAGATCCACACATGTAGATAGACATCCAAACTACACAACTTGTCAAACTACACAAGATTATACAAGTGTGCACTCCGACTCACTCAGAAGTGGAAAACACCCCACCTCTGTTTTCGGAGACTCCTCTTCCCTAAAGCATCACACTGGGCGCGTTCCGCGCTTTTGGCCGCGGACACCGTCGAGTCGAGGTGCAGTTCCACGGACAGCGGCATCCCACCGCCACAATGCTGTGCAGTGAGTGTCTTGGGATGAAACGAACCTCGGCGGTGGCGGAAACCAGTCACACCGTCCAGGTCTTTTTTATGCCTCCTCGTTCTTGGGCCGAGGTCTCTTGAAGGGTGTGTGTGTGTTTTTTTTCCATGTGTTTTCATTCCCTGAATTATGCTTCTTGACACCTCACAAGAGAGGTGCACCCCACAAAATGCACAGAGCAACAAGGGGTTCCCATTTGAACTAAAGTACCGCTCCGCCCGGCAGAGCCCCGCTCTTCTCGGACGAAAGAACCGGGATCTTGGGACTTTCTTTGGGACGTGCCGCGCGTGTGCAACGCATGCCTCTTTCTTTCAACCGGAAAGCAAGCTTTTGTGGTTTTTGGCTCGTGAGCACGTTCAACTACTAGTAGATCTTATAAAGTTTGGATACTTCAGATATTGGTTTAGAGATTGGCAAAAATGGACTCGGGCAAAAATGGACTCGGGGACTCACGTTGCAAGTTCTTTTCTCATGCAGGTTTGGCTTTTGCCACGAGAATGAACAGCTCTCGCAATGGACGCTTGGCATTCACTGATGGATGTTGTTTCAACTTGGACCGGACGCCGTGGTTTTTCGCCCACGTTCGTTTGGGCACTCTCTCTCTCTCTCTCTGTTTAGAGTCAGAAGGTCTTCGCGTCGCCCTCGTTCGATCCTTAACAGATGACGCTTCACGGCTATGGACCTCTGGACCTCTGACAGGATGCGAGCGTGGGAGTGGAAACAGACCTGGGTCCGGAGGCCCAGTCGGGAGTCGCTCGAGAGGAGTCTTCAGGAGATTTGTCCAATGCCGTGTCCATGCGGCATGGCAACGACGGAGTCCAGTCAAAAGCAATTGCCTTTTTTAAAAGGACCACACGTCCAAATCCAGGTGAGGTTTGTATCCTGGGAGCATGAAAGCTAAAATGACATGAACCTTAAAGCCAATCTTTGGACCATGAAGCATGGCCTCAAGCAAGCTTCTTTGGCGACACGGGCAGTCGGCGGCCGCCTGAAAGCTCAGGAAGATGACTACGAGTGGTGCCCGGCTTAGTTCAGCAGCAGTAGTCATACGCTCCCTGCAGCAGTAGTCATACGAAGTGGATGGCATGGACCCACCGGTCGTGCCACACACCGGTCGCGACTCATCGAGACATCCCTGTGACGTTTCGCGTCGATGTCCGCCACTTGATGTCCATCAGTCTGTGACAGTCGGTCGACAGTCTCCGGTGCTGAGGATGCATAACCAGTGGCCAGAAGCCTTAGAAGGCCTCTTGGATGCGAACTTAACCCTTCCAAGGAGGTCAAGGTCCCCTGACGGCAAGTGCCTGCCTGATGTTTCATGTCCCAGGGCTTTTCACTTTCGTTTCTTTTTTTTGAGTCTTAGTCTTAGTGTTCGTGCTTTGGGCCGGCTTTCCTTTAGGGGAGAGACGCCCAAAGCTATGAAGAAATTGTTGTTGAGCTGCACCTTGGGCTCAAGATTAATGCATCCAATCACATCCAACAGCAGAAAGGAACAGAGGATGCCGGTTCCAGATTTGACTTATCGAGTGCATGTTTGAAGAACAGCCCAAATACTTTGATACCTTGTGCAAAAAACACCATCTGCAACCAGCGGAAAGGCATCTCTCTAGGCGAAAGTGTTGATTTTTGTAATCTATTGTGAGGTACTGGGCAGATCACACAGCTCCCAATGTTCTCATGCCAGTCAGTCAATGCATCCAATTGTGGACGAAGTCGGACGAAGACATTCGTGGCAGATCCCACGGCAAGGGCTTTCAACCTCATAACACCTTGGTTTGAAATGCCACGCAAATAGGGCACTCAATTCTACAACAAGCACCAGTCAAAACGGCGAGGTCCCCTGAGGTCCCGGTTCAACGGTTCTAGCGGTTCGAGCGACGAGTCAGGACTGGCGACGGCTCTGAAATCGGATCTTTTTCTGTCGAACGTGCAGCTCATTGTGTGCGGAGGTCCTGCCTGGTTCCTCGGCAGAACCGAATATTTGTCCTAGCGAAACGTGCAGAGTGAACGCGTTTCGAAACGCGCAGTGGGTCCCGATCTTTTTCATGATGTAGCCCCCAAGTCTTCGTTTCGAGGGCAAGGCCACATCTTGAGCCGCCAACAGTTTTTCTGCAGCAGTTGGCATGGGCACCTACTCTCTTGGCCACAAGGGGCCATTTTGGGGCTTTGAAGGCCAACCTTTGTTGGAAACGACCAATCCTGTGTAGTTGGAAGAGGAAGACCTGAGACCTCCCAGTCAACCACCTGTGAGCAAACATCAACCGGTCCATGCACGCAGGGTTTGAGGGTTTAGATGGGTTTAGGCTTCTCCCTTGTTTGTCCAGGTTTTGCGCCATGATGCGAGCAGTAAAGGCGCTGGGGGAAAACCTCGTGCGTCGTGCGTTGTTTTTTTCCCAAGTAGCAACACCTCGAGCAAAAGCTTAAAAGTAAGATAAAGTAAGGAATCTTCAATGCTCGCATATAGTCAAGGTTTGATGATGTTCGATGACGATTCCGCCCAATAGGCGTGCGGATTTGTGAACTCCGTGAGACCTTCTTGGTCGTCCCTGGCTGGGTAGACTGAAAGGAGGGAGGTCGGAACGCCACGCCTGGCACCCTCCGTCTCCCGGATCAGCCGAGCTACACACGAACGATTGGAATGGGTGTACCAGGTGAACAAACCGCTATTGAGGGAACAAACCAAGTAGAGGGAACAAACCGATATGTTCCCTCTACTTTTCCATGTTTTGAAACTTGCCAGGTGTACCAGGTCTTGTGACCCGATTTCTTGGCTGGAATCCAAGGAAGATCTGAGGGATTCACCAGACACTTTGGTAGGGCACGGGGGCATCACCCGGTATGGCTCAGCAAGAGCTGGTTGCCTAGCTAGTGTTGTTGTGTTGTTGTTTTGAAACTGAAACACCCTTGAAGTGTCAATACCTGGGCAGCCTGGGGCAGGCTTAGTCATCCGACTGAGTCGTTGGTTTTAAGTGGTTTTAACAAAAGGACAGCCCCAAAAACCCCACCTCCCCCTCCGAACTCGACCTCTGGACCAAATCACACCACCACGATCCGGACCTCCGAGCCGAGCCGCCGAGCAAACAGCCCGCCGGCCACGCACCGAAGAGGCGGTGCCCATGTTGTTATACTTCGCCTGGCCGCTGGTCCCACTGATCCCGGTCAGCTTGAGGTGCGGCCGGACGGTCCGATTGGTCGCGGCCCCGGGCGGCACGTGGATGCGGCGGTTTGGGCGGTTTGAGACACCGGTCAGTGACAGAAGGTCGTCCAGAATTTCGTGAAGGAAAGAAGTGGTTCATCTTCAATCCTTAATTTTTTTGGGATGCTTGTTTCTACTCATCAAGCTTTGTTTCCACAAACAAAAAACACCAAGCCCAAAGCAATCTCTTCAGTCTGCCTAAGAACACGCGTAGGTTTCGGTGGACCAATGGCACGAAGTTGGTGGACGGATTCAGACCACCATTGGGTGGCGATCATCGCCTATGATTGCGATCATAGAGCTATGATCGCTATAGCTATCATGGCTTCTGTTTTTGCCCTGGTTGTAATTCTTGACTTGATCTGGACGATTTGGTATTCTGGTGGCAAAAACCCGGGTGGCCAAAACACGCGTGTCCAGGAGCACACGGGCGTTGGTTCGTCCATATTTCTGGGTGTTTTTTCCTGGTCTCAGATTTGCTTGTGAGGCCTCAGTTCTTGCTACAGATCCAAAGCTTGGGTCAAACAAGCTCAGCCGTGTTGGTCTCTTGGCAAACATGGGCACCAAGATATGTTGTCTTCAAACAGGAGAGCTATCTTAATTCAAACGCACATTTTGGAACAAGAACTTTGAATTCTGAGTCAACCACTTTTCTTTTGCAATTTGGAAGACATGGCACGTGTGGCATGTCATTCCATCTTTCACGTGTGACAAGTCCTGCCGAAGTCCTGCATGATTGGCTTGGCTTAGTTGCTTTGATGCCGAGGTTGTGGCAAACTGGATTCTGGCAGCGCAATTTGCGCTCCAAGCAGATGCCTTAGAAATGAAGAAACAACCCATTGAAGCAGAGAAGCTGCTGATTATATAAAGCTACTGAGAGACACTTCTATAGGGAATTTGCCACGAAATTAACCGAGTCAAGTTCGCAGTCCAAAGCGCGAGCTTTGTCAGAGATCAATGGTCGAGCAAAGTGACAAGCACATAAAAGCAGCGGCATGCCCTTCATTCAGGTGAGATTACCAACACCAGTGCAGCGTGTGCATGGCCTCTACACCAAGCAGCAGCACTCGCCGGTCACGAGCCCAGCGGCACTTGCCGGCTTGGGTTTCCCTTTTTGGTTCAAGGGCCTGTCTAAGAGGTTTGCTAAGACTAGCTTCGCCGGTTCCGCGCTCCCGGTTCTGCTTGGAGAAGCAGCGGACCTGAGGTACCAGCACCTAATGGCCACAACCGAATACTCTTCTCTCGCTTGGGCATTTGGACAGGTCTGGCGCGTCTGGCATTTTCGTTTCAATTGGCATTCACTGCTTGGGCATGGTGGGGACGATTGAAGATCCCCAGATATGGCACGATTCTCTTGAGAATTGGGTATGTGAACCCCCAAAAACCGAGCACTTCGGGCTGGAGGGGTCTGGAACAAGTTCTGCCGGTGCAGCCTGTCGCGCCGGACAGGTCAGGCTGGTCCTGCACTGCTGGAACTCTTGTGGTCCTTCTTCAGAGAGGCTTGCCGGTCGAGCCGGGCGCTTCTCTTTGGGAAAAAAGGGATGGGTTACATTGGGTGACTGCGTTTTCTTTCTATTTTTTTATCTCGCGCTGAGTGACATGGCATGGCATCAGAGGTATTTATGACACATATTTTTAATATCACTATTCAAATCAGAAGCAGAGATCATCAAGCAATGGGTTTATGATGCTTTATGGGTTTCAGTTTATTGTCTAGACTGGCGGCTGCAGGCCCCCAAACCTTTGGTCCCTTTCCCCATCGAAAAAACCGATCCTGATGCATCCCTCCGCTGAAGAACAGGAGCAGAGGAAGTCGGACTTTCCCTTCGAGCCCGTCTTCTTGAGTATTCGAGTGAGGCAGGGGCCCGGTTCTTCGCCCAACGAAGCGCTGTTCTTCCTTTTGCGTCCAGCCTCGAATAGCTTTCATCTCCTTGCAAGTGCGCCGACCACAACGCCAGGCAAGTGCGCCCCATCTACGAACTCACCTATAAGGTGCCGCTGTTGTGAAAACGGGCAGTCGCGTGGTGTGAAGATTCGGGCAGTCGCGCCGGTGTTGTCTTTTTCCCTCCAGGAAATGTCGCAGTTCTATGCCTGCGTCTTCTGGTGTCGGACTTGGAAGCGAGACCGATGCCACCTAGAGAACGAAAGCACCTGTGTTTGCGGCCCGGTCTTTGATCTCAAAGTGAAGGCACTCATCTACAACTCCCGAAAGAAGCGTGCGGCGTGTTGGACCGTTCGCGTTCGCGAGGGATTCGTCGTGTATACCAGGCCCTGGGACGTGATGATGATGCTCTTCAATGAGCTCTACACCATGTTAGTGCCCCTCTTGGTGCCAGACAGGCACTGGGTGGTCCCAGACTCAGCTTTTGGGGCCCGCTTTGTATCTCTTGCACCGGAGCAGCTCCGTTTCCGTGTGTTACTGGTCCGACGCCCTAAGCCGAGAAGAAACGGCGCACAACGACTCGCCCGCTGCGTCGGGGTCACGAGGTGAACACGATGCTTTGGTCCCTGAAGAAATCCACGCAGAACTGGTGGCACGTGAGGGCCAAGAACGTCAGGCTTTCCGCGCTGCGAACGGTGGATGAAAGCGGTGAACAAACACGAGAGATCCTGGGGAGGTCTCTTGAAACAGCAGAGTAGGCATAAAGCCATGGCTCTGATTTGCCGCAATGAACAGGATTTCCAGAGCTTTAGGTTGTTTGGCATGGGAGAACTGGAGTTGTTCCTCCGAGACATCTAGCACCGGTGCACTCCTTGACCCACCGGCGGCCAGGGCTTCGCTACCGACCACGCTGTCGACGGAGTTTCCATTGCCCGAGCCGTGGATCGACGATCATCCCTACTTGGGATTGGAACAGGCGGCGCTGTTCCGCGCGCCGTGCAGCGCGCCCCGACCCCATCCCCACACCGCGCCCGTCATCGTTCGTGTCCACGGGCGATGTGAAGGACGGTCGTGCTTCTGACCGATGCGAATCCGCACCGCCGGTTTGCACATGGTTCGATGGTTCGATATGGATCAGCAGCTTTGGATCCACTGAAGATGAGACCCCATGGGATGCGAAAACGAAAACAAGCCGTTTTCCATCGTTTTCCACACGTCGGAGCGAGGCGATGTACTGGTATTCGCTGACGGACTTTGAGCAGCCACTTGGACTCAGGATGAGCTCGTGTTCTTAGGGTCATGTAGAAAGGTCTGGATGCTGCTAAGAATTCTTGAACGTCTCCAGTTTTGTGCTTCAGTCATCTTCAGTCTTAATTCCTAGTAGAAGACAGGGCAAAATCCTGCACCTGCTCCGTTTTTCTCTCTTTAACCTTGGCTTTAGAAGACAATCCTTGCACAGGAAAAAGCTGAGTGACCTGCATCATCCCCCGCAAAATTTGGGGTGCCGGGAGCTCACTTCAACACGCGTGTATACACGCTGTGATGCAGGATTTCGTTCATCCATTATATGTATCCTTGTCTAATAGCAATGGCCCCCAACCCAATAGCGATGGCCCCCAACCAAATAGCGATGGCCTCCAACTTAGAAGCAATGGCCTCAACCTCATGGGCATCATTGAACTTTTAGTCTTTTGCAGGGTTCTGTGAAACTTTTGCTTGATAGCTATTTGTTTTCTCTTCCTGACCCACCTTCTCACGAAAACTGCAGACCATTTTGGTACTGGAGACGTCTTGCGAAGGGCTTTGACAAGGGCCGCGGTGCTGACCGTGGTGCTGAATTGGATCTTCTTGGGCTAGTGGCTTTCCACATCTGATCACCAACCCAACTTCTTCTCGTGCGGCGTCGGGAAGCGTTCCGCCAAGCCTCCATGTCCTTTTGCCTATGCTTGCTTGATGAAGAGGGCATACACCCCTCCGTTGTCGTGAAATGGAACCAACATAGGAGAACCACAAAAAGGATCAAAAAGGGATCAAGTTGGGTCAAGCTTGGTGTGGCAACAACTCTACTCTTCCCAACTTGACCCCCATTCCTCCATATTCCTCCCCCTGTCCCCGTCCCCTCCGGATGGTCCTGGGCCCACCGACCCGCCCCCATCCGTCGCGGAACCGGGCCACCGAGAAGGTTCCCAGCGCTGGGCCGGTTCCGCAGCTTCGTGGAGCTGCTGCAGCTGCTGCGCGCCATGGAGCCGGAGACCATGAAAGCGGGCATGCGAGCCTTTAATGAGGCCAGGCATGGGCGTCGTGGTTGGTTTTAATGAGCCTGGCATGACCAGGCATGGCCAGGCATGGCGGCGTTGTTTTTGTAGTTTTTTTCTTCCGACATCTCAAAACTGGCAGAGGGCTGGGAGCTGGTGTGGTGGTGGAGCTGGGAGCTTTTGTTGGGCTCCTTGTTTGAAAAAGACAGGATTCATGAAAATTTCATGGGTCAAACCATATTCCGAGTTTGCTTTGCTTTGGGTCCGTAGGACTCGCTGCGGAGTTCCTTGAATTTCTACCGCTGGACTGCGGCATCCTTGTGACATGGCGGCAAAACCTCTTTGATGATGGTTCATTTCGATTCATTTCGATTCATTTCATTTGAACCAAGAGCACCCCAGCAAACTCTGAAAGCGAAGGCGAAGAAATCGTCTGAAGAACTGCCCTCGCACAAGATCGAAGACATGGATTTTCAGCCTGTTTCAGCCTGCTCCACCGCTCCTTTTTTCCCCCTTCCCTCGACTCACCCGGTGGAACGTCCTCGTCTCGTGGCGAAGGCGAACGTGGGTGTCTCCCGGGTGTCTCAGCGACCAAGGCTGAGCGCTGGATGAGAGGCGTCACCGTCATCCGGAGGAATCCACGCACCGACAAGCGCCACGCGCCGAGACCGCGCGACCACGACGACAAGGAGCCGCGGTGGAAGCTGGCGCGGTTTGCGTGTCTTGGGCTGAAATGAGTTGCCACCGCGGGCAGAATGCCCATTTCTGGGGTGTGCTGGGAATCTTTCGGGATGTCTCAAAGAGGTCGAAGGCAGAAGTCCTGATCATCAGAATTGGACAGAAGTGTCATGCCCAACTTGAACGGCTCTAAGAACCTGCAGCTGTTTGGATGTCGGGCGTTTTCCCGGGCCCAGGTGCTTTACTGCGCCTGCAGAGCCTCCCAACAACAACGTTCGCCCTGAGATCCAGGACGATGGTCGCCTGGGCAGCGGGCGAAGGCCAGGTCTTGTTCCGTTCGACCTGGTCGGCTTGGTTCAGAAAGATGGTCATCAAATGTCATCAACATGTTTGCTTGTAGTTTGGGTCTGTCCTATTGCCTGTCCCTCCTGTCCCATTACTAACCATCATCATCCACTGTTAGACCCAACTTACAGTGTTTTTGTTTTAGTGGATGACATGAGGATGGTTTCATACACTTTTTGTTGGTACTTTGATACCATACGCAAGAGGGCACCTTTGGATACCGGTGGGTCTTTTTGAAACTCATGGCAAGATCTCGCTTCCCGCAATGTTTCGCTTGGCTTGAAGATGCTGACACACAGTAATCGAAGCCTAAGCAAAGGCCTGGATATACAGTACGTGATATAGACAGCGCCAACAGCCGAATCGCAAAGGAAGCACCAACAACATCAACACAGCAGTCTGTGCAAGTTACAAAAGCACACACAAAACAGTCTTCATGTCTTTGCGACCACTAGAAAACAAGACCAGATCATTTCACCACATCCAACCGCTACTACATTCCAACCAGCAGAAAAAACCACACACAGCGCAGTTTTCTCGTTCGTAAACCCTTCCTCAACCGTGTCGCCCGGGTGTCGCCCCGGTTGTCGCCCCGGCACCGCCGGATGTGGAGCTCCAGCTTCGGCGATGACGTTCGCCTGCAGATCTTCGAGCACTTGTGGCCCAAGGAATGGCCCCTCGGCGGTGTTTAGGGTGGAAAGCGGACAGCGCGGTGTTCGCAGCATCCGAGCGCGAAAGGTGACAGATGGAAGTAGTGGGTGGTAGTGAGTGGTAGTGGGTGGATGGTTTTGGGATGCTAATTGGAGTGGGTCAACATGAAAGAGACCCAAGAGGCGTCAGGTGTGGAAGGTGCATCGTGCTGGATGATGCTGGATGGCGTTGGAATGAGGTTGGTGGCTCAGAGCCTCTGCCGTGTGGCCAAGCGCTTCTTATCGCAGGCAGATGTCCAAGAGGGCCTCATAACACTTCTCTCAGAGGCAGGATATCTTTGGCATTCGAACGAAGCAGTGCAAACAGCTGTAACATGCTGTAGCCCTGAAACACTGAATGCTTGCGCGTTTGGGACCAAGGTCTGGCCGGGTCAGATCAAGTGATCAGGTCTTTCGCATCGTCACTTTCGTCGAAAAAGAGGTGAAAGCACCTCCTTTGCATAATCCGTGTCGTGCCGACCGTGCTACTGTACACACCATCTTTCGATCCTTTGGACGTTTGGACGCGGGGCGTGAAGCACAAAGCACAAGGCGCCAGTGAAAAGGTCGCCCTTGCGCCATGCGAGGACGCCTTTGCGCTTACATCACCCTTCTGGCAGACCTTGCGGCGAGCCATTGTGAAAGCCTCAGCGGGTGAGGAGACATTTCTCTCTCTTCCTTCTACAGCCAGCTGTGTAGACTGGAATTGCTAAAGTCCACATGTTCTCCACATGTCTTCCACCTGTTCTCATTGAGAATGTGATGCTCCATGTGATGATCTCCATGTTTTGTTCTCCTAAAAGGATCCTTCCTCTCAGGCATTGAACGGCCCGTTCCAAAGCACCTTCCTGTCGCCGGCCTTTCTGGCCATGGCCCGGCCCGGTCCGGTCGGCGCTTCCGCCCCCGCCGCTGCCGCCGCGCCGTGCCGTGGGGGCCGTGCGCGGTTGCTGGGGCGGTGCTTCACGGTGGCAGCACAGCTGGGCCATGCCAATCTGGTGACCTTGGCATTGCAGCCTCTTGGCCATCCAGTTGCCCTTTGTTCCGTTCGTAGCGTCCTTGTTCCGTTCGTAGTAAGGCCGAGTAATTAGCTTCTTGCTCCGTTCGTAGCGATGCCAGGAGCCCCTAGTAGATCCTAGTATAGCTAGTTGTAGGTAGTTGGACGAAGTGACTAGTTCTATGATTTTTGCATGGTAGCGTGGGGTTGGGAAGGACCGAAGAGCAACTTTATGTGACAACAAAGTCAAGAGTCAAGATTGATGGATGTGTTGTTGATGTCAAGGCTTCGGGGTTCGCAATGGAACGATGACTTTCTTAAGATGTTGCGGCTCAAAAAGAAATCAGGTGCAAAGCAGACATTGAGCAAAGAATCAATGGGCAAAGTGCATTGGATGGAGCTGCTCAGCTGTGTTGGATGGGCCAGGTTTCACACACATCGAGTCGCATCGAAACAATATGCAGGATGCACGAAGCCAAACTGGAGTTCAACGGAAAACGGTTTCGGCCAAAACGGAGGCACAAAGGATCAGGAAACAAGTCAGATAGTAAGAGAATGCAAGATACACTAAAGGAATTAAAGTCAGATGCCAGTCAATTGTCAGATAGGAAGATACGCATCAGAAGCCCCGCTTTCGATGAACCTCTCTCTCAATCCTCTCTCCCAGCTTTCTGACATGCTACACTACATGCTCATACCCACCGTGGGCCCAGAGGGAACAGAGGCCGTGACAGCCCAGCGGCTGGCGCCTCCGCTATAGCGCATCCGCATCCGCATCCGCTGCTGCTTCGTCCGAGGCTGCTCAGTTTGGACAAACGCGGGTGGTGAAAGCCTTGATCGATGCTCGCGCCGCGACCACGCAGACGGCGCCCGGACGTTGGACTCCCTTGATGCGGGCCTCGCAGGGTGGACACATCGAGGTGCGCGACCGTGGGCAATAAATGGAAAGGCCCAACTAGACAAGGTGGTGGCTTGGGCTTTACTTTTGAGATCCTTTGAGGCTTACTCCAAAGATCTCCAAAGGTTCAAAAGCCACTCAATATCATTAGCCTATAGACGATGTATGTCTATAAAGTCCAGAGGCCCAGCATGGCTCGCCTGTTTCGCGACAACAAGGGCCGTTTCGCGACACGCGCCGTTCTTTCGATCCCTCCCTTATGCCATCGTGCGCGCCCGTCCCTGTCCCATCCTCGCGCCATCGAGGTCTGCCAGCTCCTCCTGTCAGACGGAGCCCACCCCGACGAATGGGCGGACCGGATGACCGCGCTGGACCTCGCCGAGGCGCATCAGCACGCGCGAGCGGTTGGGCTGCTGCGGCGCCAGGGCGCCAGACGCTTCCTGGAGCTTCCACCGGCCAAGCAGAAGGTGCCGATGAGTCGGTCAAAAAAACGGGAGCCCAACGGACATCAAACGTTAAAGATAAATCAACTATAAAGTAATCTTAATAAACCCCGCATAAGAAGAGGATTTCCAATTCAAATGGGGGGGGTTATCAATTAAGAGTGTACATCAATAGTTAACTCTGAATGACCACTGCTCGGAAGCTTTTGGGTTTTGATGCAGCGTTTGATGCAGTGGCTTAAAAAGCCTTTGATGCTGGGCAGTTTGGATGACTTCTTGTGTTTGGCGCTTCGGTGACAGGCGCTGCCACTGACACAGCCCAAGTGTTTATCACAAAGCTCCAAGCCGCGACCGCGCTCCAGCAGAGGAGTCCTTTCGTCTCAATGACAAGGGTGTTGTTGTTGAAGTCTTTTTTCCTTCGTTGGCTGCCACTTGTTGAAGGGATCGCTTGCTTCGGTTCGATTTTTTGAATGCTTGATCTTGATCTGGCGGGTCGAAGCAAATGAAGAAAGCTGCCAGGGATGGTTTGATCTGCGTGCTACACCTTTCTCGCTGAGCGTCAGGTGCTCTGGGGTTCCGCAGTGCTACACCTCTGCACCGCTCGGATCTCCTTCAGCGCGGAGGAGACCAACGAGACCGATGAGGACGAGACTGAAGCGATGTAAAAAGGGACGAGCCGCGGCGCCTGCGCGGTGCTCAGCGGCGCCTGTGCATCATTCTTTTCCTTCCTATCCAAACCCTCTGCACAGTGGCGTGAATCTGAATTTCGGGATCATAGAAGCTCATGGCTCATGTGTGTGGTTGTAATTGGTACAACATTCATCATTCATGTCACAGGTTTTCCTGATTGTCACATGACATGTTTGGCACTGCCTCTGTGCCATCCTGCTTGCTGACTCCACTCACTTCCTTCGTAGCTCAACCGACCTAAATGCAGACCGGCTTGCTCGGGTTCCCTCGCCTCGCAGATTCTTCCGACCTCATTGGGAGTCTATAGGGATCTTATTGGAGGGAAAAACCGCCGGTTTCCCCTCACGCAAGTTCCCAAAGATCCGAGCTTCGTCTCAGTAACGCGAGACGTAGAGACGGCCAGTACTGGATCCGATACGGGCATCCATGTTTCGCTCCAGAAGCAGTTCCTTGGATCCAAATGGAGCCTCCTCCCCGCCTCCCTGCCACGTCCCAGAGAAGCGACCCACTGACGCACCGAAGCGACGACGCGCCAGGGCCGGAAGGGGCCGGAAGAACGTGGAGAACGTGCGAGACGGACGGTGTGAGACTGCTATGAGACGTGGAGGAAAAAAGAGAGATGATCCAAATGCGCGAGAGGGGAAAGCAAGGCAATGAAAGGATTGATGAGTCAATGGGTGATGAGATGATCGGGATTTGGGGGATGAGACGTTTTGAACTGAGTCAATGGTTTGCCATTCTGGGAGTCTGTCAATTTGCATTGAAGATATGTTAGTGTTGCCCCTGCCCTGGCTGGCCGAGTGCTTGTCCAGGCAGATGGCGTAAACCTTGGGCGTTTGGCAGGTGGGCTGAACTCATTTCCGTTCGGCTCGGGTTCCCTCTGTCTTCGCCTTCATGGTACAGTCAACCTAGTTGCAAGTGGGTATCATGGATATCATGATGGTGCAAAGAATGGCAATATTGCTTTGCATGAAACTCTGATCCCAGTTTTGTTTTGAGTTCACGTGTTGACTATGTCGACCATGACACTGTTGGGTGCCGAATATCGGGCTTCCGGTGATCAAGAAGTCCAGTGCCATGTGGCCTTTGGTTGTGCGTCGTGGCCTTTAGTTTGCTCCAGAACAGATCCATGCATTCTCCATGTGCTGTTTCAAGAAGAGAGATCCCTAGTGTCCAGAATTGCTGAAAACAACATAAAAAGAAAACATCCTCGCTTCTGAGTGTCGAACCTGAGATTAGCTGCTTAGCTTGGTCTCTGGAGAACATCGAAGGAGGAGCACGATTTGGGCTTAGCAAGTCTCTTTTTTAAACATCCACCTCTCACAGGTGGCATCCTAGCACGTGTGCTACATGAGCAGTCGGCCAGTCCTGCAGCTCAGGGGAGAGGGGTTCGGGATGCACGTCGGTCCGAAGCGGGGCAGAAAACCCCACGGAACTGCAGCCTCTGCTGCGTTGACTCGTTTGGTCTTTCCGGGACTTCCGTGACTGGGAGTCCGAGTCGAACCCGGCAGGCCATGCCGCTGTTCGATCACCCGCGCAACAGAGACCCACCGACGAAGGTATCACCCGGGTGCGTGCCAAGAACCGACCGACTCGACTTCCCCCGGGTCCGCCACGGCCGCGGAATGCGGGTGCTGAGTCCTCGATGCGGCGGGCACCGGAGCCTTGGCCAATGCCGCCAAAGCTGTGGCACTGGCGAATGCCATGGCAGCCAAGCAGGCATCCGTCAGCGAGTCAACGAGTATTGAAATCCTGGTCACATGTGTTTGACATGTGGTCAATCTTTGGTGTCTCCAAGAGAAGCTCTGGCCTCCGCCAGTGGCTGGAGGCAAACAGATGACCCCAGAATGGCACTTCGGGGAACCCAAGAAGAAAAAGACAAAAGGCAAGAAAAAGAAAAGAAACAGCGATGGCCTCCAAAACCTAGTATACGATAGCATACGTCGGAGCCCTCCAACTCTTAAGGAAAGCACAGCAACTCAGTTCGTTTCGTCCGTTTTCGACGTCCGCGCTTGCGGATGCGCCGTGTCGCGCTCCGTTGCACGGTGAGGCCTCACCCCTCAGATTGGCCTTTGAACCACAGATGGCGCTGGCGCCGGAGGCCGTTCTTTCGGAGCAGGTTCAGTCGGTCGGTTTGGGATCCGTTCAGTGGTGCTACTTGGACTCGTGACACGGTACGTGACACGGTACGACGCTGCTGTAGCATTCAATGTGGTTCCGTGTCTTAGCCGAAGTGAGCACATCAAATCACGGTTAAAAGATGCATGGTTGCCTTGTTGGTCAAAGTTGCTTTTGGGTTCGGAGGGCTGTCAGCGCTGATGATTTTGTCGAAAGAGAACCAGATTTGGTCGAAAGACGAAGGCCAAGCTTGTCGGTACTTCGGTCTACAAGCCTGAAAGCCCAAAGCAACAGGTGGGTCTCTTGCACGATGGAAAATAGCCTAGTAGCTTTTCTTGGAGGTTGATCACTTTGCGTGGCTGAGGCGGCTGGTGGCGTGGAAGACAGGACATGTTTTGCTCAGTGTCAGGATGACAAGCCTTTTGAATCATTTGGACAATGAAGCCTCGTCTAGAGTCTATACTTTTATTTGCTTGCTGGTGAGCACAACTTGGACGCTTGAAGAATCCGGAGCGACCTGCTCCAAAGAGCAATTCCGGTTTTTGCAATCATTTTTGCCTTGTTTTTTTCCAGAAGACTGGCTTGAGTTGCGGGTTGTCAGGAAAATTTGCCGCTTGATCCTTCAAGCACGACAACCCCTTGCGCAGGAGGACACCTCTTAAAGATGTTCCCTGAGCCACGAGCCGAATGAGCAGTTGTTGACCAAGCATCTCTTGCTGATCTTTGAGAAAAAACACCATGCACTTGTGGATCTTGATGACTCTCTTAAGTGTTTGGATGTTGGTGTGTTCCTTTTTGTTTCCCCCCCTCCCTTTCTCTACTCTTGGTCTCCCCCCAAAGAGACCCAACCGACACATTCGCCGCTTCTGTCCTCGCGACGCGTCGCCAGGAGCGCTCCGACTTCTCCCGGGGCGGGATTTTCGTGGCCGACCCACGGTCCTTGGAGGCGGTCCGGTGTGGGGACGGTGGGGACGGTGGTGGTGGGCGGGAGGTCGTCTGTTTTATGGAAAAAATGATGCAAAAAAGCACGGTTTTTATGAGCACCTTTCAGGTGATCTAAAGAAGTTCTGTTTGATGTTGTATTTTTGGTATAGTTGTACAAATAGTTTTGTGTATTGTTTGTTGGTCTGGTGTTTTGAGACTGACAGGACAGGTAGACATGATGCCAGTGATGCTACTGTGTCCATGATCATTTCTTTACATCACTTCTAGTTGCAACCAACGCGAGTGGTGCAGCGGCATGTTTGAACTTCTCGCGGGGACACGTGAGACCCGCGAAAGTTTCGATTGGCACCCCCAAAAAACATGTGTTTTGGAATAGCAGCCGTACTGTAGCAGTTGTCCTTGTCCTCGTGACGAAAAGTACCAGTTGCCACCATGTGACGGAGGAGCTGGTGTTTTTCTCGTGACGAAGAGCACCCACCACCCGATGTGCGTCCAGGCAGATCGGCAGGTCTCCCCTACGAAGCTCTCCAGGAGAGAGCCGGTTTCCCTTGAGCGTGGCGTGGCGGTGCGACGCGACGCCGGCTCGCAAGAGAACGGACAGATACACGGAAGTGGTTCCTGCAGCATGTGATGTTTTCGCCTTGCTTTCGCTTTGGCTTTCGCCTGGGTTCCTGGAACGGATGGTGAGGACAGTTCTGGGTGAATGGATGCGCTTCGCAGCCCCAGAGCTGCGACAGGCGGGAACATGGGCGGGAGGTGGGGACGTGGATGGGTAGATGATATGTGGATGGTGGGACGTGGGACGTGCATTCCAAAAAGAAAATGGGATTGCCAAGCACTTCCTTTCCAGTCAAAAAAGGATCTGAAAAGCAAGTGAAAGAAAGACAGTGCAGAGAATGGGGGCCAAATGCTTCAAGAAACAGGAGTCAACAACAGCCACCCAAAGAAAAGCCAGAGAAGCAAGAGATCCAGGAACAAATACAATGAAACGATGAGACTCAATCAGTTAATTCCTGGAAGTAAAACTTAATTAATTCCTTGAAATAAACAACTCCAATCAACCGATTGTTCTAACGGATTTGTTAATTCCTGGAAGTAAATCCCTTGACACAAATCCTTGAAATAGTAATCTCCTTAGTTTTTTTGAACTCGAACCACCACTGGTTCACCGTCCGGAGGCCACCAGAGCGGCAGCCAAGAGTGGAGCTGAGGCTAGCGGGTGGGTCGGTCTGAGCGGGAGCCAAGGGAAGGGAAAAAAGGTGAGATGCAAGCTGAAAAAGCTGACACCAAGTGAGGGCTGGAATTTCCATGATCTTGGTTTCAGCTTGTCCAACACATGAATTCACTTGGTTTCAGCTGGAATTTCCATGCTTCAGGCATCTTCAAGGCTGGAGTTTCCATGCTATTTTTTCTGTTCCAACACAGGAAGATGTTTGTACAAGATGCAAGCGGAATCACATTTGGCTTTCTCTATGAAGCATTACATTTTGATTCATTTTGTCGATAGAATTGAAGGTTCAGTCGTTTGGAGGAGCTGTGGGGCTTCCGTGACACTTCCAACTCTATGAACTGAGTAGGTTTAGGGTTTTGGATGGTTTTGGTGGAATCTTGATGTGCCCAACATTTGGGCCGTTCTTCTTGTTCTTGATGGACGATCCGGAAACAAGCACGTCCGAAGCCCGAAGCTTCGTCCTCCTCGCTAACTCCCGGCGGCTGGCGCCGAGGGGGTTGCTAGCTCCTCTTCCGGAAGGCACAGCCACTCGAGAGTCGTCCGTCGGTCGAAGTCGGCGACCGCAGGTTCGCAACGTGATGACGAGCTGTGCGCCGCTTTTCAGTCGACCGGACATCCATGACTTGGGGAGCTTCGACTTCGGTTCCTTTTTCTCTTCTGAAAAGACCTTTTAGGACTTGTGAGACCTGTTTTTTTCCCCTTTCTTCCTTTTCTTTTCTAAGCTTCTCACAGAGGATGTGCTATAAGATGTGCAATAAGATGTGCATAAGGGATGATATGCGCAACATGCGGAGAACATATGATCCAAAGACTTCCAACAGGACTGGAGATCACTGGATATCACGCTGACCGTTTTCTTCGTCGTTTCTCTTCGGCCAGTCAGGAAATCCCCTCCGTTCCTGGTGACGATGGGTGGGCTCGGAGACTCGATCGGAGCGGGAAGGGACGCTATTCACATGGTTTGAACGTCGAACACTGAATCCCATCGATGGGGACAACTGTGTGTGGACGCACCATCGACTGAGGCCTTCCATCAGTCTTGGCGTGAAATCGCTGGCATTTGTTTGCGCCGACCTGAAGAAGGACACCGATACATCACGCCAAGGTTTCATCAGCAAGGTCAGATGAAAGGTCAGGGTGCCAACATGAACAGCCAAGAACTCAAGGTCACATGCCCAGGTCGTCGATGCTTTGGTCATTACAGTTGGTGCCTTTTAGGATCCACACCAGCCCACACCCAAATGGAAAACAGATGTCGGTCAGACTTGAGGCCAGCAATGTGTTAAAGACTGGAGCCATACCTCTTTATTTGACCTTCTTGCAAGGAGCATTTGGCAGCAATCTCAGCCTCTCTCCTTGCTGA